CCTAGCCATTGTGGCATAATTGGTAACGAATATGCCGATTATCTCGCTCGAGACGCAGTAAAATGTGGTGATCTTTATTATTATAAGAACTATTCTCATGATTTAATTAATATGTCACAAACAACATTACAAGATTCATGGTCCAGGTTATGAGTGGAGAGTAATAAATCAAAAGCTAAGTACTATCGCTCATTACAACCAACTTTACTTACTAAACCTTGGTTTTCCAAATTAAGGTTTAGTAAATCAGTTACTACAATTTTAATCCGAATGCGCCTCGGACATGTTTGTACTCCTGATCGTTTGGCAAAATATGGTATAATAGATACGTCCACATGTGAATGTGGCGAGGTTGATGCTGACGTTAACCATATTTTCTTTTCTTGCCCCAGATATGACAGAACCGCCTTTTTAGATTCATTGAAGACAGCAAATATTCCTTTTCCTACGTCCATTCCCTCCCTTCTACATAATATTAATCCTGATGTATACATATGTTTATCCAAGTTTATCAGAAAAAATGATATAAAAATTTAGTATATCTATATATTTATATTTTTACTATAGTTCCATTATTTACCTATATTTCCCTACCTACTCAACTGTTGTTCCTATTTCTTGTTTATCGCAAATCTCCCTTTTTTTTCTTGTTCATATCGTTTCCTTATTTTTTTCCATCTGCTACTACCACATATCCATGTACCAACTATCCATATTCCGCTCCTTTAATCGATTTGCTACCCAATTAGAACAGATGAAACTTGCATATGGCAATTGGCAACATTAGCCGTCATGCCATAATAAAAGAAGAAGAAGAAGAAGAACTTTTGATATACGGATAAGTATTTTTTTGCGGAAGTAGGAATTTCTAATTAATTACTAATTAACTAAATAAAATAAATTAAATTAAATTAAATTATTATTAACTAATCAGCATCATTTTTATGAATTTTGAAATGTGGTTAAAAGTCACTACATAATACACATAAATAAAACGTTATTTTTAGTGTTAATATATCTATGGCGCAATGTGGCTATGGGCATTGTCCTTTCCACCGGAAGCAAATGGGAATAAAAATTTGTGGTGGGGGGCAATGTTCCCATTTGCCTCCAGTGAGAATAAAGATCAGTACTAGATTTTTAATGTGAAACTTCTATTCGGACAGGGTGTTAATCGAAAAGATGAAACGGTAAGGCGTCACGAGCGTCACACCACTATATATATATATATTATATCATCATCATCAACCCATGTTCGTCCACTGCTGGACATAGATCTCCCCTAATGCACGCCACTGCTCCCGATTTTGTGCTACTCTCATCCAGCCCACGAATATCTTCATCCCATCTTGTCACATATATATATATATATATATGTGCGCTGCTCTTCCCGACGAGCATGAAAGTTGGAGGGTAACTCGGCGAAAGCTGAAACGCTACGAGCGTCACACGCGACATCATCATCATCATCAGCCTCTTAATGTCCCCACTGCTGCAGCACAGGCCTTCCCTATGGATGGAATAGGGAGATTGGGCCATGACCCACCACGCGGGCCCAGTTCGGATTGGCGGGTGCTAACGACTGCAGATGCAGCCGGGACCAACGGCTTAACGTGCCTTCCGAAGCACGGAGGAACTCGAGATAGAATTTTTTGGTCACCCATCCAATGACCGACCACTACGAAAGTTGCTTAACTACAACGATCGCAGCCAGACGCGCTAACCACCCGCGCCATCGAGCTCCTCACACGCGACAATATATACATATATATATATGTGATGCGTGCGCTGCTCCCTTCCCGTATGCCTTATGCACCGCCTAATGTTAGGTTATTTCAGGAAACAAGTTTCACTTCAGATGTGTGCTCCATGCACATATTTTTTTTTTGTTTACTTTATTTAGGAAACATAATGACAAATTAAAACAATTTTCAACAATAAAACATCATTTATTTTATAAACAACACCACCGCCGTACATTTCTGGATATTCTACATCATTTTAATTATGGACAGTACACACAGTTTATCAAAATATGTTCAGCATACATCAGACATTCCTAGCACATAACAGCTATACAGAAACTGGAAATAAATAAAACGCATTCTAAAAGCAAAAAAGTTAAAATAAATGCACAATACCGACTAAAAATGCCTACAAACACATATTTTCTAGATAATTATTATTTTTGTATTCCATCCAACCACTTATATCTGAAAATTCTCATATATATCCCTACGGATGGAATAGGGAGATTGGGCCATGACCTAACACCCACCACTATAGCCTTGATAAAGTTTAATTAAGTACCTACTAATTGTTGAAAGTATACGGAAATCTTATTTTTGCAGTAAATTTTATTTCACATTCACATCTCACATATTTTAATAAAAAAAAAGTTTTATGAAACTCATTACTGTGTGTACTATGCCCATCTACTATTTATAACATAGACACTATATACTACTTCATAATGGTACGATTACACAGTCGTTAGCCCGTATACGAGTGCCAATGGAATTTGGGTAAACGACTAAATACAATTGAATGGAGTTGAATATGCTAGTATTTTGGTAGTTTACATTTTGGTAACCCAACACTGTATTCCAGCCTGTATTCAGTGTCAATAATGCTTAAAGTGCCCGAATTTGAGTAACGTCTTTAGTGCATCCGTATACGGCTAACAACCAAATTTAATCGAGCCATAACACACTTTTGATTCTCTCAAAGCAGCAGTTTTAATACATTCTGGGAAACTCCTTGAGCAACAACCATAAAAGGAAGCCTTCACAGTAGCAATTTTACAAACATAAACGTTGACTGTGCTATTTTATTCGTCTATGGTTTTGCTCGGGAACTTTAACAGGACCTATAATTAAAGCAACATCATCTTTATTTCAATATCATAAAAATTTTTGAGACGTGAAAACTTTGTTTATGGGAATATTACAATATTTATTATATTCCCTGTTAATTATATGTTTAATAAGAAAATTTAAACGCCATCTGTTACTAAATTATAAATTATTTAAATAAATAAATTGGAAGTTTAATGTGACTATTGCGGTGGCTTGATGAAGACGTTGCTATAATTATAATAAAAAGAAAATGGGTACTTTGCTCATTTCTAACAGAATCAATTTAAAGTCAATGGAATGATGAGGGCGCGGTCAATTGATAAGTAATAAAATAACTTTTTAAAAACAAGGAAGATACTGTTGAAAATAAAGCAAAGCACCAATATTTTAATTACAATTCTTTGGATAAGAGGGGCAAAATTTTATCGAATACAAATTAAACGAAGTCCATTAATAAATGTGACGCATTTGAATTTTAACTACAGAAAAGTTAGACACTGTTTAAAAACCTTGTTCATACAAATCATTATTCCGACGACGTATTCCTGCAAAGGATGCGAAACGTCAATAAAAGAATAAAATCAGTGGCATCTAACCCGTTGAAACTAGTTTTATTTAAACCTTGTTTAGTCAAATTTAGTATGACATTTTTCTTAAACTCGTGTTGAACGAATGTCTAACTTTTTTGTGATATCTAATGAGGTTGCTGTTTAACCTTTTAACTCTTTCCATAAACCTCTTCTAAAGAAAATAACCATTGTAATATAACAAATCTGTTTCCTTATTATGAAATGAAATGAAAATGTTCACAGTAGGAGAAAAGTTTATATTATTGCGCCACAATTCATGCATATTTCAAAACATTGACTAAACTTTAATGCGGTCTTGAAGAAAAACTTAAACATTTGTTAGCAAAGTGAAGGAAAACCTTTAAGACCACATTTTGTAATAACGAATGCCCAACCACACATAGTTGTATGCTAATATAGTTTTTATTGCTTTATAATAAAGGCGCAAATAGCAACCTTCTACATAACATATAGTCAGCAGAAATAAAATCTGAGAGCAAATTTCTCAAAAAAATCGCTTGGTTGTGATAAAGCTTAAGTAGCGGCAATATTTACTTATTTCAAGTTAAAAAAATATTTTAATCTATTATTTTCACTAGAATTTTCTTCACTGGATATACATAATATTCGTGAATCCATCATTGATAGAGGCAAATCCTATCCATAATTAATTGTTTTCCGTTTTTATGTAGATTTTCAATAAATAGCTTTCTGTATTGATAAAAATATTTTACATTTTATAGATCTACTAGATATTCAATGGATAAAAACCGCAACATGAACTTTGTTACTGCTAGAATTATGTTTGTGCCTTTTTTTGTTATATTCTGCTGTCTGTAATGAGCCTAAAATTTAAATACACTTATGTGTAGCTAAAATACAGACATATGTGCAGCTAAAATTTAAATCTGTTACTTGAATCAAACTATTTTATTTAAAACAAGCATGCACCAGCCCCTCTAGCATGATTACTAGATTATACATTTTATCACGTTTATTCCAACTGTCAAATTCTATAGTAATTTGAAAATTGAGCGTGATAAAATCGTGCTATATATCATTCCGCCGTGCTTATGGTAGGGGACCATAAGCACCGCGGTATGTTAGGACGGCTGGATTGTTAGGAAGAAAAGAAACAAAGTATTTTCGCTGTTTAAATATCTAATGAAGGTGAAGAACATAAAGTCTAATTAAACATACTATTGTAATTTATGCCTCAAACTTTGAATATTTACAATAAATTTACAAAGATTGTCAGAAAAATTGCTAAATACCCAAAGCTCCGAAGAGTCGAGTAGTTATGTGCAGTTCTAAAAAGATTAGAAGTTTACTAGAGAATTAATATCCCAGTGAACTTATAATATCATATATTTTATATTATTTTACCGCGAGGCACAGCTAGTTGGCTATAGATTAGAAAAGCAAGTGGTCTTTTTATAGAAGAATAAAATTATTTTTGTAGTAAGCTGGAATATTAATGAGTCCTTGTATCAAATTAAGCTGTATCAAGATTATTATCTTTTATATTGTTAAGCATTTAATTGCAAAATGTTTAAATTTTAAGAAAATAATATTAGAAAACTTGGACTTGGATAGCAGAAGATGCTGGATCGAATCCGGAGTGGAGCGATGTACTGAGTGGAATATTTTCGGGTAAAATTTCTTTATTAATATCATTTAAACAAAATCTCAGTAAACTTCTAATACAAAACTTGGGAGGAAATATTCAGTAAGTTTCTAACATTTCTAGGATAAATGTGATATTCGCATGAAACAAGCGAGTTATTGGTATTTTCAAAACAAAAACTCCGCAACATAGCCCAAGTTTCTAGTTTCCTAAGAAAAGTTGTGATATTCCAATAAATAATTGGGAATTTAGGATAAATATATTCTATATTCCATAATTAAGATGGAACTGTCACAATTGTAATAATTAAATAAAACAAAGCTTCAACGGTTAAATGCATAAATTTACTTATTTCTGGACGTTTCCACTGTTTTCTGTGTGTTATTATAACGACACAACACACATACATACATATACAGATTAATTCTGACGACGCAGCCTGAAAAGGATGCCAACCGTCAAGAAACAATAAAATTTAACCGCATTAAACCATTGAAGCTTTGTTTTATTCAACGAGTGGTGTGTGCGAAAACCTAAGAAACAAATTCTAATGATTACAAGAATCCATCCCATAGTTCCCCTCGATTGTCTCAACCAGTGAACCAAAAACCAGCGTATTACGGTCACAAATCACCACTTCACAGACACTTTACACGGCACTTCACACACATAGCACTGTAACGTCAAGTCCAGGGTTCTGTTCTCGGTTGCTTCTTGTACTAATAGACTTAGTATTGTTGGCACTAAGAGGAGGGTCCCTTGGCGACTCCCACGAGTGCTGGTCGCACGCATCGCTCGTGCAGCTTGTAGCCAACCTTGCTCACTGCAACTACGGTGCCGGGTTCGGCTCCCTCCACTTCCTATTAACAAAAAAAATGTAATGTATTAATTAATTAATCTATTTGCAACATCAGTCTATTATTTTCGTCTGATTTACGGTTAGAAAGGCACGTCAAGTCCCTCGTTCCAACTGCATCTGCAGTATTTACAACACACCAAACCGCACTGGGCCTGCGTGGTGGGTCACAGCTCAATCTCCCTTTACCACATTATAGGGAAGGCCTGTGCCCCAGCAGTGGGTACATTAATTGGCTGGCACGAAAATATTATAAAGTCCCAAATGTTGTTGAATTTGTAGTTGAAGAAAGGTGGACAGCCAGGGACAGAAAGCAATGTGCCAAGCTGAAGTAAGCCTTTATCAATGGACAAATTGACAGCATAAGTGCTGACATATACGAATAACAGTTATAATTAATATTTTTACTTGTTTATCTTTAACAAAGTTTCCACAGCGATTTTTGTGGATGGTAATACAATAAAATATAAATACAATGTTAAGGCCAATTACAGAAACACAGTGTGTGTATGTGTGTCTGTGTGTGTGTGTGTCTGTGTGTATGTCTATGTGTGTGTGTGTGTCTGTGTGTGTATGTCTATGTGTGTGTCTGTATGTCTCTCTCTCTCTCTGTGTGTGTGTGTATGTCTATGTGCATGTGTGTATATGTATGTGCGTGTGTGTATGTGTGTATGTCTATGCGTGTGTGTGTGTATGAATGTGTGTGTGTTTGTCTATGAGCATGTGTGTGTGTGCGTGTGTGTGTGTGTGTATGTATGTGTGTGTATGTCTATGTGCATGTGTGTATATGTATGTGCGTGTGTGTGTGTGTGTATGAGTGTGTGTGTATGTATATGTGTGTATGCCTATGTGCATGTGAGTATATGTATGTGCGTGTGTGTGTGTGTATGGTGTGTGTATGTCCATGCAGCTGCAATGCAAGAGAATAAATAACTCAAGCAATAGAGTAAAGATAAATAACAAAATTTTGCCGCACTAGCTTTTCTATAGATTTTAGAGTAGGTCGTAGAAAGCTCAAATTTAAAAATCGAGGAAAGTAGTGTAGTCACAACTGGCCGCCATATTGGAAAACGCGTTTATCGCTATATAGCGAGAGAAAAATATATCTATATAGATATCTCCGAAATCACTATTTTTACTGATAAAGCTTTCGAGGGCTTTTTAGTTTATTACTAAATTTTCCCACTTTTTTGTCTAAAACTTTTCATTGTCACTCTTAGCATTTTTCAATATTTGTTGCTTATTTGAAAATGTTTGTAGTTTTTCCTTTATAAAACCTTTAAAATGACATTAATTAATAAAAAACGTCCTATAAAAGTTATTTGTCATTAAATTCCCTACAACTTTTGCATTGTATAAATCTTTTATTTTATCCAATGGATACTTTTAAAGTTATGATCGATGTAATTTTCTTACCTGTTGGAAAAGTGCTTCGTGCAAATTGGGATCGAATTTCTCTCGTAGAGGAGACACCGCTACCAAACCATGTCTCGCAAACACCTGTAAGAAAAAGTTATATTTTAAATAAATTAAATTATTGTTTAATAAAATTAATTCCTTCGATCTCTTTTGAATAAATAAATAAATATTTCCAACACTCACACTTCAATATTTATTAAATACAATTCGACATGAGTCAACTAGCCTATTACCAGTTGTTTCAGGCACAAGAAAAAAAATATACAGTAGCGTTTGCTTATAAGTAGAAATTCAAATCAATATTAAATTCCTCATTTTAAAACACCAAACATTGCCTTATTGAGGAGCTCGAAGGCGCAAGTGGTTAGCGCGTTCGGCTACGATCGTTGAAGCTAAGCAACTTTCGCAGTGGCCGGTCATTGGATGGGTGACCAAAAATTTACTATCTCTTACTCCTCCGTGCTTCGGAAGGCACGTTAAACTGTTGGTCCCGGCTGCATTTGCAGTCGTTAGCACCCACCAGTGCCCCAGCAGTGGGGACATTAATAGACTGATGATGATGAAACATTGCCGTATACGCGTCTGAAATTACCATGTAAATGTGTAAATTTTTTTGGGAAGAAATTGGCTTCTTATATACAGGTAAAAAAATCGAAAAATTGTTCTTCAAACGAAAGATCCTTGCATGAAATGACATTTTTGAATGACATCTTAAAAGAGATGTATCTACTCATATAACAATATGTCTATTAATAATATCTAATATATAAAATTCTCGTGTCGCGGTGTTTGTGGTTAAACTCCTCCGAAACGGCTTTCCCGATTCTCATGAAATTTTGTGTGCCTATTGGGTAGGTCTGAGAATCGGACAACATCTATTTTTGATCCCCCTAAATGTTAAGGGTAATCCAACACTATTTTTTTTTTTTATTTTTTTATGATACATCCATACAAAAATACATACATCCCTAAATTTTCAACTTTCAACCACCAACCCCTATTTTTTTATGGCGGTACGAAGTTCGCTGGGTCAGCTAGTAATATATATATGAGAGGAGCTCGATGGCGCTAGTGGTTAGCGCGTTCGGCTACGATCGTTGAAGCTAAGCAACTTTCGCAGTGGTCGGTCATTGGATGGGTGACCAAAAATTTACTCTTACTCCTCCGTGCTTCGGAAGGCACATTAAGCCGTCGGTCCCGGCTGCATCTGCAGTCGTTAGCACCCGCCAATCCGCACTGGGCCCGCGTGGTGGGTCACGGCCCAATCTCCCTATTCCATCCATAGGGAAGGTGAGTCAGTATGTCCATTGATAAAGGCACATTCCTTCCTGTCCCTGGCTATCCATCTTCCTTTAACTACAAAGTTCATCAACATTGGGTCTTTATAATATTTTCGTGCCGCCCAATTAATGTCCCCACTGCTGGGGCACAGGCCTTTGTGTAAAGGGAGATTGAGCCGTGACCCACGTGGGCCGGGTGCGGTTCGGTGTGTTAAACCGACTGCAGATGCATTTGGGGGGAAGGGCTTGACGTGCCTTTCGAAGCACGGTACCTAAGTAATCGAAATAATACATTTTCGGTCACCCATCCTGTGAGCGACCGTTGCGAAAGCTGCTTCACTTCCACGATCGCAGGAAGGTCTGTATTATACTTAGAAGAGAAATGAAAACACACAGTGGATAAGCTACAAGATATTTTATATAATATACTAGCTGACCCAGCGAACTTCGTACCGCCATAAAAAAAATGGGTGCGTGTACTTATGTAGGCGTGTGAGAAGTTATCCTTCTTTGGCATCGTTTAAAATTAGTTTTTAATTGCATGCAAATAATTAATTACAATAAATTAATAAAAAGTCTGGAAAAGGACGAAGTCAATAAAGTTCAGTTTTAATTTGAAAAAATTAATAAATAATCAAAATATTCAATTAAAATCGCTACTGAATATAATTTATAAGAACATATGTGATTTACACTTGTATGAAACTCAAACACGTATTCCGAATATACAAACTAGAAACATGTGGATAAATATTATAAATATGAATACCTATAACTGTTACTTTATTACAAAAAATAAAGATGTGGTTTTTGGTTCTACTACACCAATGGTCAAGAGATGGCGCTGTAGTCTCCTGAATCGCGCTTTGGTTCCGTTGTTCCAGATTAATAAATACTTTTGATAGGCCTTCACAATGCAGTCGTTAGCACCCACTAATAGAGCTTCTATTTCTATTTTGTTGGTAGATTTTCTTAATGTGCGGTAAACACAAAAGAAACAGCATGAAGTAAAGCGACCAACTTCATGCTGTTAAAATTTTGTGTTACAGTGATGCGCGCGCATCTTAAAATTTCACTCTCATAATTTTTTCATAACGCGCCTAAAGAAGTATAACTTCAAAAAATTGTGAATCTAAACCATTCTCAGATCCCTTTGAACACACACAAAAAATTTCATCACTATCGGTCCAGTCGTTTAAGAGAAGTTCAGTGACATACACACTCACAGAAGAATTATATATATAAAGATATGAGAGTTATAAATAAAATACACACAAGCCATATACAGACACAAGTAAGAAAGAGGAGTGTCAAACAGACATACAGACTGACGTATAAAAAATATAAATTTAAAAACGCGTCAAAAAGGTGCCAGGTTGTTAAATATTAAAAAGATATAAAAAAGGTTTGGCTGAACAATAAATAAAACTAGTTTTTACGGGTTAATGCACGAAACTTTATTTATTTATTGACGTTTCGCAGCCTTTTCAGGTCTGCATCGTCAGAATAAATTATTCTGTAAAAACTAGTTTTATTTAATGAGTGATGTGCGTGAAAACCTAAGAAACAAATAAGTTTGGCTGAACAGTATGCGATGATGATGATGAATCGTGTACCTGTGTCAGCTGAGCCCTAGTTAAGGTGACTCCATCCCTGAGGGATTGTAAGGCGGCGCCTCCATCGCTGACCGCAGTCTCGGGGACACTTTCCGCTGCCGCAGCTAGTGTATCTGCCACCTGACACAAGGATGCAACATTACGCAATAAGTATCCTTACTAATATTATAAAGGCGAAAGTTTGTTTGGATGGATGTATGGATGGATGTTTGTTCCTCTTTCACGCAAAAACTACTAAACGGATTTTAATGAAACTTTACAGTAATGTAGCTTATAGATCAGAATAACACATAGGCTATAATTTATAAAGATATTGTGTGAATTGTCCAAAATATAACGATAAATGTCATTTAAGTCTGAAAAAATTCTGCAATCTGTAAAATTAAAATTAAAATTAATTCTTAAAGGTAGCAGGCATACATTTGGGCACGCCATGTTTTTCTCACGGTCAGCTCTATGTGGCTTGCTCACGTGTTTCCAAAGCGAAAAATCTGCATGTTTATGCTGAAGGAAAAAAATCGCTAAATATAGTTTATAGAAGCATACTGCAGTAGCTACCTATAGGCCTATGATTAGGGGTTTGCAGTGCTTAATTACTGTATTTCTTATGTTGACAATATTGTTACGTTATTACAGTGCGAATGTAACATCTCAATATTGTCAGACTGTTATATTTTTCAAATACGACCCAAAAATTATGTATGTTATAATTTTAATGTCATAATGTTAGTTCTTTTCACGCTAATATAAGCTACTCGAAATACTAATACTGCGCACACGAAGTCACGGACACCAGTTATTGATACATAAAGACCTTGCTTTTATTCGAATTACATGCAGACGAAGTCGCGGGCAAAAGCTAGTTATAAATAAATCCATATTTAAATTCTTTTGCTAAACGCTTCGGAATCTTTCTCGGTCCATACATTTATAACAAACTAGTTAACATATCGAATCTCAAGCACAGCTCCGTTCGGGAGATGCGAAATAACATCTCAAAAATGTTATTAAAATGGTCGTATGACAGAGCTGAAAATCTTTTAAGGATAATGATGTGATTATACACATACGCACACACACACACACACACACACACACACACACACACACACACACACACACACACACACACACACACAAAACACTCACAAACATACGCGCATCACCAATGTATCCATTCTTTTAAGTTGGTTGTATTTTTAGGCCGTAAGTTATATATTGTTAATTTTTTACTTCCCCCATAGGACGGGCTTCGCCTAGTATGGGTGACTGTTATGTCTTATTGTAATTTTGTTTATGAATAAATGGATTATTATTATTATTATTATTATATATTATATATCAAAGTGAAATAGTACATTACGATACGCGTGACCTAAGTTGCCTATTACTGCACGGCGTGAAGTTAGCGCCCGTGCTAAACGCCGTGCAGTAATAGACAAGTTAGGCCACAAGTATCGTATACTATGTTATAGCAAGTGTGACATAAACCCGCCCCGGACGCGGGCAGGAGGGGGGGTTCGGGGGGGGGGGGGGGGGGGGCGGTTCGGGTCTTCACAAATCGAATTCGATTTATTCTCTCGTCGCCATTTTTTAAATGCATTATACGCTGCTGTATACAGGCGTTTCGATTTTTGGGGCAACAAATTCAATGTCACCGACTTCGCCACTTCTTTAATTGCGTCCGGAACAATTTCACCGTTCTCGTATTCGCTTAGGTCACTATCCGAACTGGCCATTTTCGACCAAAAGATACAATTCTCGCGGAATGAATTATAGCTAACCGTTTCTCCTTGTTTTGGCTGTCACTGAAAATCCCTAACCTATCGCTAATTTGTCATTTGTTTGCTGTGAGTTTTTAAGCTCCATATGACATTTAAATGTGTTTCCTTTTATTTTTTCTACATGAGTGAAGTTGGTCAATTCATTTACACACCGTGCAGAAATAGGCAACTTAGGTCACGGAAAAGCGTGCGTAAAGTGCGGGTTTAGGTCACACTGTGCTATAAATACTTTTACAGGTGGTGCAGGAGTATTATCAGGTACGGGGCAGGAGTATTATCAGGTACGGGACAGGAGTATTATCTAGTACGGTGGAGCAGTATTATCAGGTACGGGATAGGAGTATTATCTGATACGGGATAGGAGTATTATCAGGTACGGGGCAGGAGTATTATCTAGTACGGTGGAGCAGTATTATCAGGTACGGTACAGGAATATTATCTGATACGGGGCATGAGTATTATCAAGTACGGGGCAGAAGTATTATCTAGTACGGTGGAGGAGTATTATCTGCTTTTACTAAGTAAGACCCTTATCATTTCATTGAGGTTTTGGGGCTGGATCTTTAGATACCCTGACCGCACTATTTCCGGTAGATCAGTGTGGCGTAACGCCTTTTCCAGAATGGAAGGTCTGTGCCCCAGCATTGGGACATCAATAGGCTGATGATGTCAACGTTACCATGAACAAAACTAAGTGCTGTAAAACTTACATCTAGTAAGTCCTTGCAGAAACTCTGTATGGCGAATGACTTGGCGTCTTCAACTTGTTTCATCATGCGTCGGCGAACGTTCTCACCGTCGGCCAATGCGCGCTTGTATTTGTCCTATAGAACACACGGATAAATTAAAATTATAAAAAACTTAAATAAAACTAGTTTTTACGGGTTAATAATGCACGAAACTTTATTTATTTATTGACGTTTCGTAGCCTTTACAGGCTTCGTCGTCAGAATAAAAAAGAAACGTCAATAAATAGATAAAGTTTCGTGCATTAACCCGTAAAAAGTAGTTTTACTTAATGAGTGATGTGCGTGAAAACCTAAGAAACAATAATATAAAAAACTTTATAGTTATATAATACGGGATATTATGTTATTTACGGGATTGTTACCATGTACCTTGTTTTTAGCCAGTTTCCGATATTTAGTATGTGTAAAAACCGAAATAATAAAAAAAGTGTCGTGTCGCGATCCGATACTGTAAGTGTTGTGTGTCGAGAACAGTTTCCAGTGAATAGTGAGAATGTGAACAGTGGTACGGGTATCAAACACAATAAAAATTTCTCCTTCCAAATGTTTAATACTTGTATTTTAGATTGTGGGTTACCTACAATGCGAAGAGATGGCGCTGCCTTGTAGCTTGAGAAAGGCTAGAGAGAATTCGATACGGTCATCAAGGACGCAGTGGCAAAATGGCCAATGCATTCGCCCGGTTATTGAAAGGTACAGGTTCGAGTCCAGTCTGCTGCCTGATCCGTATGGATTTTTTCTAGTTAACATTTTCTTTAGATTTAAACATCTAACAGTTTAATACTTAAAACATTAAAATATAAATAAATGTGTTACTCACATCTACATCTTTTATTTGGTCCTTCAAGCTGGCCACTTCGGTGGTGAGCGCCTCGATTTGCTTGTGGCATTCTTCGATGGTACCTGGCAGCTTGTCGCTGGAGTCATTCTCTACAGTCTTCTCTTCTGTGCTGTAGTATCGAGTGCTTGCACTCCTGAGGAATAGAAGAAGCAAGTTATATATTTTACGAAAATAACAAAATCCAATTTCCTTCACGTAGGTAAGCAATTGTGAATGCCACATTCATAAAAAAGTATAATTTTACATTGACTGCCAAATGTCAACCAATATCTGCTGAGTACATGTTTTGGATATTTCCGTAATAATTATGACTTGTAAACTCTATACTAACCAATTTTTGACAAACAGATTACTGCGTTAAACGCTAGAGCTGTGAACAGAGGTTGATTTAAAAAATATGCTATTTAAATCAGTCAGAATATTGTCTTATCTTTCCATCAACTGAGGTATGGTAACTGCTGTTTTTTTTTTTAAATTACTATATGATTTACTGAAAACACATAAATGTTGCTTGTTCACAGTTTACCAAAAGTAATAGTCATTTTCTGTGGTCTGTAAGGTAAAGACCCAGATTGGTGCTAGTTCGCTAGCTTCTTGCTCTCTTATGATTAATAAAATGAATTGCAATCTTCTGTATGTTACATTTTCATTATCAGCCTATTAATGTCCTCACTGCTGGGGCACAGGCCTTCCTTATGAATGGAATAGGGATATTGGGCCATGATCCACCACACGGGCCGAGTGCAGATTGGCGGGTGCTAACGACTGCAGATTCAACCGGGACCAACGGCTTAATGTGCCTTCTGAAGCATGGAGGAGCTCGAGATTCAAAATTTTTTGTCACCCATCCAATGACCGACCACTGCGAAAATTGCTTGACTTTAATAATTAAAGTCAAATATGCTAATTACAACTATTAGCCGTCTTCGTCTCGGCCACGTTACCTCGCCAGTCTTTCTTTCCAAATCACGTATACTAGACAGCTCCATTTGTGAGTGCGGACTCGAGGAAGGCACTGTAGACCACATCTTTTTCAACTGTCATAAAGACCCATCTCTATATTCTCTACTTCCACCCAAAACTGTACGTCCCGTTAACATTAATACAATTCTAACATTGACCGACAAACCTGGCTTTTTGTGTTTATGTAAATTCATTAAAAAATACAATATTAAACTCTAACTTTTATTAACCCTTCTATTTTTATTTGGATGTAAATGTCGGCTCTACCCATGTCATATAAATTAATATTGTTTAACCTGTGACGTCTTTGTGTTTGTTTGTTATGTTGTGCTTTCAGAAAAGTGAAATACTCAAGGAAGAACGTATAATCGGTTATTTAACGGTTTCTACCGAGCAGTCTTTCTCGTGTCTCTCTCACTACCTACTGGACATTGGCGAAATTTCTGTGCAAAACGGAGAACGCCACAGAAAGAAAAAAAAAAAAAAAAATATGCTAATCACTTGCGCATTACTCCCGGGCGATTCCGCAGGAAAACTGTGTGTGTGTTACATTATATAACTTACAAAATACAATGCAACTGATTTTGTTAATAAATTGGAGCATTTTCATAGTTGTTTGAAATGATAAATTAAGTACGTATTTCAATAAAAAATGGTGGATGTAACTATTTTGTTATTTAATTTGTTGCTGTTCAAACGAGTCAGACATAATAATCTGTATTTTTTTCCTTACAAGAATTTAATGGTATACTAATCATTGCATCATCCTAGATGACAATTTAAATAGAATTCAATAATTTATTGAAAAGATTACAATTACACCATGTAAATATACATTATTCAAAGTTTTTTAAATATTACAACATTTCAAAAGTAAAATATGAGATTTCAAATTATTTGTATAAAGGTGTCGCAACATATCAAAATTATCATATATATTTTATGTAAATTACATCACAGTCTAGAAGAGCATTTGATTTAAATAGACAAATTAATACAAATGTTTTTAATTAAATTCTAATATGAAAATTTCGGTTTAAAATGTCTAATCATCCTAACAAGAAATTGACAATTTTTATACTGTCTAAAGCCACCGGCAAAGCAAAAATACGTTTGCTTTTTGGTTTGATGTAGTATATAGTAAATTAAAGAGGAATTTTAAGAGAAAATGATAATCAAAGACAGTTTTTAGGTTAACTTAAAGAGCTTGGTTGCGCAATGGTTACCTGTAAACGTTCCCCCTCAAAGTCTGGAATGTTGAATCGGATATATATTTTGCGAGTCTTCCAACAGAATACAGTTTTAGAGATGCCATTTTATTTCGTCAAATCTGTAGCTTTCGAATTTTTTCAAATTGTGTACATAGGTTATGTCAGAAACTCAAAGAACATTGGTCAATGGAGGGAGGAAGAAGTATACGTAAAACTCAACATAGATGGCGCTGCAAACGCTTGACCCAAACTACAGCCGAATATTGCAGCTGTCTTTAAAACGCGGTTTTTTGTTGTTAAAAATATTAAATAACTGGTGTAAATGTAATCAACATGGTCTGTAATGCAGCTGAAAACAGATTTGAAAAGTAGATGAGCATCTGTGCAAGGCAGAAAAGCTGATCTTGTAGAAAGGAACTGTTTCTATTATTATGCTAGAATGCTCATGCTCGGTACATAGCTGCATTTTCATGATTATTTTAATAGTTCATGGATCTCAGTAACTTTTAGCGGGCTCATTAGTCAAAGCTATCTTATTTTTGCATCAGTCAGACACAGTGGCGGCGCTAGACCACATGTGGACGTCGGCGACATCAAGTTCGCGAGGCCTATTTTACTTCGCAGTAAAGAACCGTTAAATTAAATGAGCCAAATTATAAAATAACGTATGAGTAAACGAGTTTTATTGTTGATAATCAAATGATGACAAAAAATAATTACAAACATATAGAAATTACAAAAATAGTGTTGCCAGATAGACGATTCTGAATACCCGTAAAGTACTACTCGCTTCCATCACGCACGTGTTCGAAAATAATAAAAGTCATTATCATCTGCTTAGCTTTTTCCCCGCATTGTTCGGGGTCGGCTACCTAAGCCAGGCCAGGAGAAATGAAAATAAATAGGTAACTTGTAAAAATTTTTTGCGAGGCCCCCTCAGGCGCGAGGCCGTCGGCGGTGGCCGACGTCGCCGACGCCTAGCGCCGCTACTGGTCAGACATCTCATAGAGTTAGGTTTCCTCTGGCTAAAATGGGAAGTACAACATTGTTTTTTTTTACAGACTTGAGGCTTATGACCGCAATTTTAATTTTGGTGCAGTTTTTTCTGATCAAAATGAAGACATCCAGATGCAGTTACCTGCCCCAGATACATATCATGATGTAAACAGCAGCTCAGTTCTATACCCCCTTTCAAAGCAATATATAAAATTATATTTTAATCGGTAAGCATCAGTGTTGCCATAATTTGAATTGCACCGTAATTACGGTAAATGCACCGTACTCAGCAAAAACCTACCGTTAGCGCATACCAACGGTGACAAAATGTACCGTAATTTGCATTTGTCAAGAAATGTTTAAAGTACAAATTAATTTCTTGACATTCGCAAATGAAACGTCACATTTTAGTTTATAAACGCAACTACCGAACGACAAAATAATGGCTGTGAACGTAACCCATTCCCTACGCACCTTTATATTCTTATCCGGGGATTCCCCTTGCAATACGCTCTTTCGAATAAGTACTATAAAATTAAATAGGCACATTATACATTTATTGTAAAGTTCTAAGGACAAGTTTTACATTTGGTTGGATTATTGTATTTGCATCAATTATTATTGTCTGGTTGTTTTATTTCTGTTGAGTGTTCAAGATTTCAACATTTTTAATTTACTTATTTAAATGTAGATCTTAGAAAATGAGTGAAATTGATCCTGATTCTTAAACTGAAGTAGAAGTGTCAAAGAAAAAAAATCATGAAGAATGGTTAGTGAAACCAGAATTTCGTGATTAGTAAAGAGACTGTGAAAAAGATGAATACATGTTGCGATGTAATTTTTTTTTAATATAACTTAATTTTAACTCTAAAATAATTATTTTCTTTAAAGTTATTGCACTGTAATTAACACCATTGTGGAATATGTTGTCGCCAGCAGTGTTTCCGGACGGATACGACCCAAAAACCTTCAAAAAAAGAGCGTACTCCTTCCTTAAAGGCCGGCATCGCATCTGTGATACTCCTGGTGTTGCAAGTGTCCATGGGCGACGGTGATCACTTACCATCAGGTGAGCCGGCTGCTCGTATGCCCCCTATAACATAAAAAAAACACCGTTGTCTCCCAGGGTCTATCACCGTATTTTTTTTAATCTTTCGTATTTTTTGGGGTGTATCACCATCGACTAATATTTGGACATGGCAACACTGGTAAGCATGCAGTTTATTTGAGTGAAGTATAACCACAATCTTGTGATAAATTTTTGTTCCACCTGAGAAAAGTACCTCTTGCGTGTGTCATTGCATTGGACCGTTGTGAATATATTTCCTCTGTTATAATAGCGTTTGCTGAAGGCAGTTTTGTCCACGGAAATATTGAAGGAACTGCATTTTTCTTCAAATATCTATGCACTTGAGGCATCCCTGAAAATCGAAAAGTAGTTGTAGTACCCATACATTTAGATAAATATTGCAACGGGAACGACGCAAATATATGTGAGCATTATGCGCTCAACTTGAGCTTTTGACCAAAACTTTAAACAATACCCCTGCTTCTGCCGCTATATATACTTTTTATTGTCTATAATACATTTTGAAATACTAACCCGTACTGGAACTATAGCCCATGTAATCAGAATCTTCGTTAATTTGCAACAGAATTACACCACCACCGATTCGAATGTTTATTGGAAGTGGTACCTTAATTTTTACCAACTCGCTGTAGAGATTGTAAGAATTTCGATGTTTTGCGCAAGAGAAAAATATGTGGTCTATTGTACTCTCATCAAGTCCACATTCGCACAATGAATTATCTCGAATATGGAGCTTATGTAAGAATACTGGGGAGCAGTAGTGACCGAGGCGTAATCTTGATAAAACTCATATAACTTGTTAAGGTAAGTTCTTCCTTTTAGAATACCATGGTTTTAATTGTATATCTGGTTGGACGGATACTTTGATTTGTTTTTGGCGGGATTTCATTGAGTGCGATTGGCGTCTTATTTTAATTATTCTTAAAATCATTCATAGTTGATATTGTGAAATAAGTAAGTAATAAGTCAACTTCTGTTGACTACCTCGCAGAAGCCTATCGACAAAGCCATCTCGATACATTTCGTGCCAAAGACTCCTAGAAACATTACAATGTGTCACACCCACATTGTAATGTAAAAAAAGGAAGATTAATACAAATATAAGACGATGGCTGCTTGTCTTTGCCTTTGCCTTTTCTAATAGGGAAGATAGAACTAAAAAAAAACGACGTCATTTTTTTGCTGTCACTGTACTGTCAAGGTCAGCTGATCTAAAGAAATTGGCACCCAACGTAAGAAAAAAGAGCTTGAAATGCAGAAAATAACGCCACAATTATGTTGCGTCAATTATAAACACCCACTCGTCGTAACCGAGTCATAACGTGCCATGGAAGGACACCGTTCAGTGACCTAACAGTCAGAATTTGGCTTTGCCAGTTTTCCGCCAGACATTGAGGCGTGTGCGCGCGTATTTTGAACCTTAATCGTGATGGCTTCGCTCGCCGTATTTGATTTTGATCGTACTATAGTGGACGCTGATTCGGATGCTACAATTATTAACAAATTGCGAGAGAGACAACCTCCACCAGAGTGGGAAAGCTCCAACCATGACTGGACACCTTACATGAGTAACGTGAGTAATATTAATTCATTGATCATCATTCATTTTAACAATTCGCTGATGCAGTACGAACCGGGGTAAAACTGTACTTCCAGGGCCCAAAAGGTGATACTTGTTTTTTTTTGTAGAAAAGGTCTTTTTAACAGATTTTTTTTCTGGCGCTTCGCCGGCCGCTGCCGCGGCACGCTCGCTTTGCTCGCTCGGCTC